TGCATTTAATAATCTTACAATATTTATATAAAAATTTACACAATATAAATTTAGATTAATTAATTTTTAATTTTCTAATTAATCTTTTAAATAATTCTAAAATAATCTTCTCTACTAACTACATATAATTCCTAATTTCTTAAAATTCTTATTTTCAATATGAGAACCAATGCAGAAAATGGAGAACTTAAATTTACTCAAAATCCCGTAAATTTGTTTTTATTTAAAATTAAAAATAATTATTTTCTTTAGAAAATCTCAACTTTTTTTGATGATAAACGGAAATCAGATAAGGCTAGGGAAGAGGAGAAGAAGATTAGAAGGAGAATTGAAGCTTTCCGAACTGAATTGTGTCGAGGTTTCTTTAAATGGGGGCATTGCTCTTTTGGTGATAATTGTCGATTTGCACATTGTGAAGAGGAATTACGTAGTAAACAGGTGCAGTTTAAATATTTGAAATTTTTGATTGGATTTGGAACGGACAGAGTGGAGTTGTCATTATTTTAGAATATTTTCTGGTTAATTGTAAAGGGTTACTGTTAACTTTTCTCATAGGCTTAAAGGAACAAATATAAAAATAAATAGCATGATTGCTTTCAAATCCAGAGCAAAAATAAAAGTAATAGGCTAAAACAACTGTTTAAACTTTTTGTACTCCGAATCTGAAAAGGATTCTAAATATTTAATTTTTTTTATTAAAGTTACATCCAAATTATAAAACAACTCTTTGTCGAAATTATGCACAAAATAGTTATTGCATTTATGGTGCTAAGTGTCAATTTATTCATCGAGATCCACCAACTTCAAGCAATGTAAATATTTTTTTTTGACATTTTTCAATCAAATTTTTTTAAATTAAAGCCTTCGTCTACTCCTTCACTTTTTATGAATTCTGCGTTTGATTTTGGAGTTAATGGTGGAAATTCAAATTTGCATTCCTTACATCGTACAAATGCTTTTAATGTTCAACAACGGAACAACGATTATTTTGACGTATCTTTGGTTTGTTTATTTTTAAAATAATTTTTTGGTTAAAATTTTAAAATTAAATAGGGAGTAGAAAATGTTTTAAGCCGCTTGTCTCTCACACAACAATCACCATTTACTCAATCACTTATGCCGACACCTCTAGTGCCTTTTCTTCATCAAAAAAGTCAACACTATTACTATAATAATGACCAACGTGTTTCTTTTCTTTCAAGTCAGGCACCTGCAGGTTCATCTTCTAAAGAAACGAGAGTTTAAAAAATAATTAGAAATTAATTTTTGAATATATTTTTTGTGGTATATATTCACTTTTTATATTTGGCATATTTAAAAGTATATTTTTGTCAAACTATGTATTTGTAATTTGGAAAAATAAAATTTAAAAAAGATCAGAATCGAGGAATTGAATAAACAAAGATATTTTACATATGTAGTTCCAATACTAGGGGTTATTATCTGTTACGACCCGAAGTGTGTCAGAGATTTAACTAATGTCGACGACCACAATAATCAGTTTATCCAATGTAGAAACAAACAATGAAGGCGAGGGAATGGGACATACGAAGGAGATCAGCGACTAGCCCCGCTAGTATGATCCAACTAGACTGATGCTTACACTGGCCTTTATACTATCCGTAACCACTAAACAACATTATCAATCTCTCAATCACAAACAGCTTGAAAGGGTGTAAAGCAATTTGTTTGTTTAAATAAAGTATGTAATAATTTTTCTGTAAATTTCTGTAAAATTCATAAATTAGTCACCAAAATCCCCCTCCTTCCTTTTACTCCTAAAGACTAATTGACATCAATATTTTATTGATTAGCTTAAAACCCGTCACGCAAGAAAAAATTTGGCGGATGCGCGCCGTGCTTTTATTATTTCTGTTTGTGTGTAAATGAACAATAAAAAATTTTGTGCACAATTTAATATATCTCTAATAAATTATTTTTCTATATTTTTATATTTGGATTTTATTGACAAACAAATTTTGAACGGGAATGTAGATAGATTACATAATTATTAATTAATTTTAAATAAAATTTTAAAAAATTAAAATATATGTATTTTCACAAAATTTAATTTTAATATTTATTCCCCCCCCCCTCCCTAAATTTCTGTCAACAAATACATATGTATTTCTTTTCTTTTTCAATTTTCCTTTAAAATTATTTTAAAAAATTATTTTAATTTTACAGATAAATTTCTAAAATTAAAAGAAAACCTTCCAAAAAATCCACCATTTCAACAAATTTATTTATAAGATTTAATTATGGCTTGAAAATAATTTTAAAAAAAATATGAGAAAAATATTAACTAATAATTTAAATTATTTAACTAAACAACAAATTAATGTTCACCATCGAAATTTAAATTTTTTTCCAATTTTTTATTTTAATAAATTTAATAATTTAATGAGGCCTAAAAAATATTTTTCTTTTAATTTTTTATTTATTTGTTTAATTTTATTAATATTACCTTTTAAATCGGTTACTATTTTTGATGTTCCTTGCACACGTTTGTTTTCTAAATATTTACAAATAAAAATAAAAATTTAGAAAAGTTGATAGGAAATAAATGTTTATTTGACGAAGAATGTTATGGAACAAATACAGTATGCCGGGATGGGCGCTGTACTTGCCCAACAAATTTTGAAGAATTTGATTTGGATGAAACAAAAACTGTTTGTAGACTTGGTAATTGAGGGGAAAGAAATTAGTTAAAAACGAAAAATTAATTTTAAATTAGCGCCTAGCAAAATTGGAGATAGCTGTCAAAGAGATTGTAAACCTCCTTTGCTTTGTAGAGATGGAAAGTGTGAATGTTGGGGTGGAAGTATAATTAATGGTGTTTGTACTGTCCGTCAGTTATTTTTTTATTTTAAAGAAGGAGATTGGGGGGAATTTCTTAGAATTTTATTAATCTTTGGATTTCTAAATTGATATTTTCAATTTTATAGCTTGTCCCGCTGGTCAACAACTTTATGGTGTTGAATGTACTAGAGTAGCTAGTTGGGGGCAATCTTGTGAAAAAGTAAAAAAAAATAAAGAGGATTTTAATTTATTTTTTTTTCCAAAAGGATATTCATTGTGTAGATTCTTTTAATTCTTGTATAAATGGACAATGTCAATGCTCGCCTGGTACACACAGAGATTATAATAAAGGAAGATGTTTTGCTGGTATTTATAAATATATTTTTAAAGAAAACTCTTTCTTAATTAAAAGTTTGCCCTGATGGAAATTCGCCAATCTTAACTTGCCGTCGTTTATTTATTAATGATGTAGATATGCTAGATAATGCAGCAACAACAGATAGTTGTCCAGTTGGCTATCGTTGTGTTACTTATGGAAGTCCATATATTGGGCATTGCTGCAAAATTTATTGTCCTTATGGGGAACCTGATTTAAATCAATCTTGTGATTCTGGGACTAATGAAGAATTAAAGGTGGGGAGAGGAGGGGGGGGACAGGAGGAAAGGGGGGGGGGGAAGAGGAGGGGGGGGAAGGGTTTGGGAATTATTCTGAAACTTTTTTTTAATTTTTAAGTGTCGTCCACTAACACATTTTTGTATGACATTAAGTGAACCAGGTTGGAAAACCTCTATTTGTTGTCCAAAACCTTGTAGAGACCCAACACCTGTATATCACAATGGACAATGTTTAAGTATTGCACACAGAGATGATCCCTGTCAAAATGATTTACAAGTATTTATTTTTTTTGTAAAAAATTAATTTAATTATTTTTTAAAAAAGTGTGAAGGTGGAGTTACAATGTTTTGTAATTTTGGGCAATGTGAATGTAAAATTGGATTTCAACCGGTAAAATATTAAATTAAAATTAAAAAAATTATTAAGATTATTTTTTATAGAATAATGATCATCGTTTTCCAAGTTGTGAAAAACATTGTGAATTAAATGAGGTAAATAGATAACAATTAATATTTTTTGTAAAATTTAAATCAAAGAATATTTTATTCTTCAGAATTATTAAAACTTTACTTCAATACAAATCTTTAAATAATTTTTTATTTTATTTTCTCGCCCTTTGAATATTTTATTTCCTACGTAAAATAAAAGAATTCAAAAAGGACTGTACATATAAAGAGAGGTTCTTTTAGGAAATGTGTAGTCTCTGAATTTAACTTCGTATTAACAATTAACTTCGTATCTTTTAGTGATCGGACCGTACGTACTACGGTCGTATTTTTCGGTATTTATCGGTATTCCGTATCGGTAGTAACGGAATACCGACCGATACAAAATTCCGATTACTAGTATCTTTCTTCAAAAATTATTTCAATTTTAATCCTCACATTTTAAAAATTAATTTTTAAAGGTTTCAACAATAGATCGTTGTTTAAAACGTGCAGCATTAGGTGAACGTTGTATAAACAGTAAACAATGTGGAGATCCAGCAGCAGAATGCCGTTTTGGTATTTGTCAATGTCTCTGCTCTTTTAAAGCAGCAAATATACTTGGAGAACAAAGATGTTCAAATCCTGATGATCCTTTAGGGTTTGGAAATATTTTAACGAGAGTTGAACAAATATTTCAAAATAAACAAAGAGGATTTAATGGAATAAATGCTTAAATTATTTTTTAAAAATATTTTTGAATTAATTTTAAAAAATGTTAATAAATTTCCCCAAGTGGAGAAATTAAAAGTAAAAAAATAATTATGAAAAAATTAACAAAAAGTCATGTAAAAATATTTTTTCTTTTAAGACAATCGAAAATTTTTTTCTTTTTAAGCGACATTTGACTTAAATTATTAGAAATATGTTTAGGGTATTCCTACATAGACATCCGTGTCAAGAGTTTTGTCGAGTGTCAAGCGTTAGATCCGTGTCGAGCGTTGAGGCACCTACATTAGAATAAAAAAGGCACGTAACAAAACGCTTGACAATCAACAATTGACACGGATCTGATGTGGGAGTAGTGTTAGAGGGAATTTTTAGTTGACAGAGAATTTGCCAAAAAACGTCTTCGAAATTATCGTAAATGTATTGTTTTATCTAATGAAATTAAATTTTATCAAATAATATTTGTAAATATTATGACACTTTTTTTCTTCCATTTTTTCTTTCAAAATCTTTCTTCTTAAAAGTCTAAATTTAAATCTTAAAAATATTTTAATTAAAAAACAAATTAGGAAAACAAAATACCAATTTCCTCTTCCTGGTCCTAAAGTCAAAACATCACTTTTAATTAAAAAATATTTTTAATTAATATTTTTTAAATTAAAATTTACTCGTTATTTCTTCTTCTTGGATATATACAACAATTGATAATTTTGTAAAATAAAAATTGTAAAAATAATAATAAATAAATTAAATTTATATACAAAGATGAAAACATTTTTCTAAAATATTTTTTAATTTAATTTTAAATTTAATCAATTTGGAAGGATAAAATTCTAAAATAAATTTTTATTAATTGGGAAATAATGAAATGTTTACTTTAGAATTTTTTCAAATAAATTTAAATTTACACACCTTTCCAACAAATTTATTTTTAATTGTAAGGTGTGATGAAATAATAGTAAAGCGGGTAAAGATATCGACAAATGAGAAAATTATAATTAAGGCTGCCGTTTTCAAGTCGAGTGACGGTCGAGGCGTTATTTTGGCTTGTTTCAGCGGACCGGGCCGTACAATTGGACCTAATTTTTATCGAGTCCATCGACTTTTTAGGGCCAATTATTCCCGTCAAGAAATTCTTATTAAAAAAAGAATATACAAACTAGAATTTTTTTGAAAAGAATCCCTACCAAAATTTCAAATTCAAAATGCATCAAATAATTTTAAAAGATTTATTTTGATAACAAAAACAAAAATATTTATTAAATAATTAAAAACAATTAATTTCTTCTTCTCTTTTTATTTGGCCCACCACCACCCCCAGTCCTCATTGATGGTCCTTTCCCTTTAGCCCCAGCTTTTCCATTTTTACCCTTTTTCTTTAATGATTTATTATCTTTTTTAAGTCTTCGGTCAACAAGTTTGAAAGGTCCTTTTGGTCTAGTCATTTTTCCACGTTTTCCTTTTGTAACTACTTGATATTTAACTTCTTTCTTTTCTGGCCTAGCTGCTTTTTTGTAAAGTCTAAAAAATTAAAAATAAATTCTACTAAATTTCAATTTCAACAAACTCACTTTTTTAATTCCCTCACTTTCTCTACATGCTCCATTTGCTCATTTTCAAGAATTCCTTCAGCACGTTTTTTAGCCTTTTCCAATCGCCGCTGTTGTCTTTTCTTTTTACGCATTTTTGCTTCAGCAACTTTCTTCACAGAACGAGAATTAACTGGGGGATCTCGTTGAGCATAAAATTGTACTCGAGAAAAATCAACACCAGGAGGTAATTCTGTTGGGCGATTATGACGTTTTTCGTCTGCCAAAAACCAATCAGGCAATTCTTCATCATTATTTGTATGTCTAAAAATAAAATATTTTAAATATTTAAAAAATAGAAAACCTATTCCAAGCCCAATCCTCAATATCACGAGAACGCTTTTTTGAATAAATCATTTGTTCACCCATTGCAAGTTGTAAAGGGGTGAGTTTTTTCTTTTGAATTGAATTCTCATTACCCTCATTTTCTAAAATATTTTTTATTAAAAAATCCAAATATTCAAAAGAAAACCTTCATTAATGTCACTTTCCATTTTATCATCATTCCATTCATTTTCAGACAAAATGTCTTCGTCCTTCTTTTGATTATTCTCTAGATTTGTAATTTGTTTTTTGTGATTTTCAGTAAAGTTCTGTGCATCCATCTCATCACTTAAAAGAGGTTAATTTAGAATCTTTTCTATATTAAAGAGAAATGAGAGAAAAACCTACTCTTCATCATCACTTGTAGAAACATTTCCATCACTTCCATCATTTTCTTCTTTAGCTTCATCCTCTTCCAGGTCATTATCAGAATCCAACATTATATTTTTGCCACTACTAACAGCGTCAGCAGCCGCTAAAGCCCTAGCCTTTGCTTTCATCACAGCCTTTTGAATAGTTTTAAGTGAAAAAATTTCAAAATCTTCTCCAATTGTTGGTTCATCTCCATCATGAATCATATTTAATTTTCTTCTTTCATTAAGTTTTTGTTTTTCTTTCAAAAGTTTTTTCTTTCTTCTAAAATTTATGAAAAAATATTTTTTAAATTAAATTCAACCAAACTTTTTAAGTTGTGATTTCTCCTCAGCTTGGGCATTCCTTATAAGTTCATCAATTTCTTCAAGTTCTTTCATCTCTTGACTTTGCTCCTCCTCAATCTCTTCAATTTCATTAACCAACGGGTCTCTAAAATTAACAGAATATTTTAATAAAAATTAAATTGTGAATAAGAAGTAATAGAATTGATCTAATTTTTTTATTTGGCATCAAAAACAGTTTGGAATAAAGTTAAATCCAAGGGTTACTTGTTTATCTAAACCGATTTAACACATAAATTTTTATAAAATAACTTACTTCTCAACCATTTCCTCATTCCTTTCCTCCATTTTCTTTGCCATTTTTTGTTCTTCAATTAATTTCTTTCTCCAATTCAATATTCTTTTAATTTCTGCAGGTCCACAAACCTTATTTTCAAAAAAAAATTATTAAAATTTACAAAAAATAAACCTTCAAATCAGATAAACATTCACGGATTTCCTCAGTTGTATGCTTACTATTAGCATCCTTTTCTGAATCCAAAACAAGGGCAGATGCTTTAGCCAAAATTTGTAGGGAATTTTTGGAAGAAATAAATTCACTAACAGGCAATTCTCGGTGTTGACTAATTTCTATATTATCTTCATATCCGAGAGCTTTCGGTTTTTTATCCTTTCGACGCGGATGCAAAAGCAAACGTTGTCTAAAATTTCAAAATTTGCGACAGAAAAATAAATAATATAAAGCCTTCATAAGAAACCCAAAAATTTAGGTTCGTAAATTTTTGTAACAAAAATCCGAACATATAACTTAATTCTTCGAAAAATAATTTTTTTTAAAAGTCGTGAGATACCCTACTTATCAAAAATTTTTAAACCTTAAATAAACAAAGAAAATCCTTACAAATTAACATTTTCTGTTTGTTCACTTTGTGAAGAAAAAACTTTTTTAGCATCAAGAAGTTCTGAATCAACTTTGTCCGGTTTTAAATATTTTTCACAAACAACAAAACTTTCAGCTGATTCTAAACGAGAGGCAGCAGGTTTCCAATGATGGACCTAAAAATAGTTGTTGTCAAAATAATTTAAAAAATAACCTTTTTAAAAAGTTTTTCAAAAACAGAAATAAGCATTTGAGAGTCGGCAGAACGAAAAATTTTTGTAATAAAATAACCACCACGACGTAATATTTGTGTGGCTAATCGAAGAGCGGAAAGAACCAAACAATTTTGTTGGAAAGCATCATGTCCCCAATTAGTTCCAACATTAGGAGCCCCATCGTGTAGGACACAATCAGCTTCCCAAGTGCTGAGTTCTTTACGGACAGCATGGCGGGTCTTCAATTAAATTTAATTTTTGAAGAAATGTTAAAATTAAAAAAACCTTTTCTTCGGTAATATCTCCTTGGAGTGTAATACAATTTTTGATTGGTTTAATAGGCACTAAATCAACACCTGTAAATAGAAAAAATAAAAAAAAATTAAATTTTCGTTTTATTCATTAGAAAATTACCAATACGCAAAGAGGAAACGGGCATATTTTGTTCTGCCACTTGCAGCCATCCTCCAGGTGCTGCACATAAATCAACCAAAGCCCGGGATTTTTGTAGAAATTCAAAGCGTTTATTTAATTGAAGTAATTTAAAAGCAGCACGTGATCGAAAACCGGCTTCTTTGGCCAAAAAATAAAATTTATCTTTTCGCTGTTTTCCAACTTTAGTTTTTTTGCCCATTTTGCTAGAAATAAAATATTAAAAAACACAGGAAATATTTAGAAAAAAATAAAAAAATAAATAAAAATATGGCCAGAACCAAGAAAACGGATCCCGAAAAAGACTCGAAAAAAGACCGAAAAAGACTCGAACTTCAAAAACCCGAATTACGCCCGTTTGGTCGCCCGAAAAACTGACAAAATATCGTCAGTTTGGCATTGTCAAAAACTTAAATTTTGGTTACTGTAACGGTCAAATTTGATATTGTGGCAATTTTTGGAGCGTACTTTGATGGAATGTTACGATTTCCAAATAAAAGGGGCGAAATATAGAAAAAGAACGAGACAATATTTCTCAAAAATTAAATTTGTTAATCATAAGTTGTGATTATGCCCAAAATATTTGTATAAAAGTAAATCTTGCATAAAAATATATTATGCTCTAATATTCTCGTCTGTCTATTCTGCATTGTTGTACCACGATGAAGCGTCGATCGGACCAACGTAACTCAATGCGGAAGCCAAGACAGCCGCTCGATATCAAGAAGATGACTCGCAAACCCGAAGCGCATGGAATTATGCGAACACATGAGGGAAGAAAGATGCACCCTCTTCTTGACATGGGCTATCTCGTACGCGGTCGTTTCCGCATTCATGACATCGTTGGATCTGGTGGCTTTGGGCAAATCTTCAAGGGGTCTGACAAGGTGATTTAATTTATTTCTGATTTGGTTTTCATTTTAATTTAAAAAGATGACTGGACATAATTTTGCTGTCAAGATTTGCATGGCTGAAGATGAAGGCAACCGTCTAATAATTGAGCAGCGAGTTATGGCCAAGTTGAACGGCAAAGACAACTTTCCATTTATGGTGAAACAATCTTCATATAAACATTACTTCTTTTCTTTGTTATAGGTTGCAAGTGGCACTTTACACCTTTCACGTCGTCCAAAGTGTCACTACATAATTATGGAGTTGCTTGGCCCAAGTTTGGCAGTTCTTCGAAAGACAACCCAATCCCGACGCTTCAGTATTGGAACTGCCCTCCGTGTTGGCGAACAATGCCTCGATGCGATGGAAGTGATGCATCTAGCTGGATACTTGCATAGGGACATAAAACCATCCAATATGTGTATTGGACTGTCTCAGTTTGGAAAACATCGCACTGTATTCATCATCGACTTTGGAATGGCGAGAAAATACTTACAACCAAATGGACGTAAGCATTAAGAATTGTTGCAACTTGCGATAATCTTTTTCTATTCAGAACATCGCAATGAACGTGGAAGAGCAGCATTTCGTGGCACAACAAGATATGTGTCACTAACTGTTCATGACAGGAAGGAAACGGTATGAGAGAATATTTTAAAATAAATTTTATTCACATTTTAGGGTCCTGTAGATGATCTTTGGTCTCTATACTACTCGATCATCGAAATGGGTGAAGGAGTACTTCCATGGAGAATGAAGCTAAAACAGAAAGATGTTGAGGATATGAAGCGAAAGTCCACATTCACTGACCTTTGCAAGTGAGTTTATTTTTGTAGAAAAATATTTTGATGATTTTTTAGACGTTTTCCTACGCACTTCTATGAGTTCGATAAGTCCCTGAAGTGGCTAAAATGGGATGATATGCCTAAATATCAAGTTCTAAAGGATGTTCTGCGTGTAAGTTGTCCATAATTTAAATAGTTCTTTTGGATATTTTAAGGAGTGTTACCCTTCTGAACAATCAACAGAAACGCCATTCGAATGGGAAAGAACGACTCGACATGCTGCCTAAAGAAAAATATTGCAATCAATTGTTTATTGTTGTAAATTTTGTCATTAATAAACTGGTCATATAAATAATTTTGTCTTTTTTCCTTGATATTACAAATTTATTAAGGGAAAATACTTTAACGAATTAAATTATTTTAAGCAAGTCGGAACTAAATAAATTTTTTGTAAAAAGTTTTTGACAAAACCCAATAGTAAAATAAAAATGCTTTTCTAAATGTGCCAAAGGAATTTTTAGAAAAATATTTTTAAGTTTATGCAAATTATATTTAACTTTTGTATAAAAATTATTATTTCTCAAAACATTTTCATTTTTTTGTTCCATTATTCCAAAAATTAAACTCCTCTCTATTTACATAACCAAGGATGTTTAGATGCCTGAATTGGTGTTAAACGTGTTTCCGGATTCCAAACCAAACAAAGCTTTAAAAAATCCAAAAAGAATTCATTTCCCTAAAATAAAAATAGAATAATTTTTAAAATAAAATTTTTTTCCAACTTTATCTTTTAAAACATCTTGCATAGTTCTCGATCCTGGAGGACCTCTTAATTTTCCTTTTTCACCTCCCTTTAAAATCTAAAAAATTACAATTTTAACTATTTATTTTTTAACCGTTTTTTCTTCAATTATTTCCCCTTCACAATATAACGGATTTCCTTCAGAATTAAAAAATTCTTTTTTTCGTTTAACTTTTCCTAAAAATTTTTCATCCGGAATTCCCAACAATTCAATTATTAAAGCTAATTGATCTCCTTCATTATTACCAGGAAAAAGTACACGCCCAGTTAATAATTCAGCCAAAATACAACCAAAAGACCACATATCTAATGCCATTCCAATTTTTCCTCCAAGAATTACTTTAAAAGTAATTTTAAAAAATTTTGGTAAAATTTAATAGTTAAAGTAGAGAAGCACCCCGTCCTCCGACACTTTTTTTTGGCAAAACCTCTGATCCGAACCCGCCATGCCCTCCCTGGCAAACACCGATCCCCTACCCAACCCTGAAGGGCCTGGGTCAGAACTCGGAAATAAAAATTTTTTCGCAAATCGGAATTCCGACCCACCTTTGCCCCTAGTTTAAAGTCACCTTCAGGTGCTCGATAATGTCTTGATTGAAAATAATTATAAAATGGTTGTCCTTCAAAAAAAGCACATCCAAAGTCTGCAATTTTTATTGAACAATTTGTTGGTTTTTCTAATAAAATATTTTCTGGTTTTAAATCTGTATGTATTATTTTATTTGAATATAATAATTTTAAACATTGAAGAATTGAAAGGGCAAATTTTCGAACAAGCTAAGAAGAAGAAAATAAAAAAATATTTTTATTAAAGAAAATTTACAGTTAAACGAAACCCTTCAAATTTATTTTTCTTTAATAATTCATAAAGATTCATACTAAGTAATTTAAATGTAATACATTTATGATCACGAAAAGTAAAGGATTCAAGCATTGGAATAATATTGTAATTTCCATCAACATCCTGTTTTTTAAGAATTTCCAAAATTTCAATTTCGGTGGCCATCTGAAATAGAATTTTAATTTTTGTTTGGAAATTATATATTTTTAATTACTAAATGATTAAATTTCTTTTCCTTTCGAAGTATTTTTATGGCAACATACTAAAAATAAAATAATTTAAATTAAATATATTATCATAACCTCTCTAATAGATTGACCCTTTGAATGATACCTCTTAGAGATCGGCCTGGGTCTGGACCAAGGCCTGGGTTTTTCCTGGACTACAGGCCCAGGATCCGGCCCAGCTCAATAAATTAAACCCGAAACCCAGGAACAGCCCACTTTTCAAAATTTCCGATCTCTAATCCCTCTAATTAAACGACACTTTTTGAGGGATTGTAAAAAGCGAGGCATTCTTTTAGAGAGTGAAGCGTTACTTGTTTATCCTTGTGATCAAAAGCTCTTACAACCTTTAAATAAAATAATTTAAAAAAATATTTATTTAAATATTCTATACATGTCCAAAACTTCCTTTCCCAATAGATTTTATTATTTCAAATCTGTAAGCTAAATGATCATGTAAAACTACTTTATATACACCATCTTTATCATCAAAATCAATTCGTTTTTTAGCATGTGGACCAACAAAATAAATCTTTTAAAAAATTTTTTTAATAAAAAAATATTTGCTTTAATCAACTTTTGCATATTCTTTAATCTCAGAAAGTTCGAAAGTAGTTAATTTTCTTTTATCATAATTCTCCTCACTGATATCAACTGAATGCTGAAAATAAATTATTTAAATAATTAAAAATATGAGAATCACAAGTTTAGGCTTAGAAAACAATCGAGGACTAGTATAGTTATTATAGTATGCATTTATAAAGTTATCGGAAGCGGAGAAAGACAGGCCCTATATTTTTTTAAAATTATTTTTTAATTTTTTCTTCCAAAAATATTTTTACTTCAAAAGTAGAGAGTTCCCTTTAATCAAAATTAAATGAGCGAGAGAAAAATTGTAAAAATTCATAAAATAGAATATATATGGAATTAGCCAGTCGGCTTTGGCGCTTGTTAGATAATTCTTATAGATTGACTGACTTAACAAACGAAAAGATAATTTAAAAGCATAGCCAAAACCAACTAGCCGTGATCCAAATATCAATGTATTGTATTAAAATAGAAATATAATTTAAAAGACAGCCTGTCTTTACAACGAATTTTTTTCCATTTTTCTTTCCTATATTTTGAAAAAGGAATCTTTTTAATTTTGATTAAAGAAATTTTTTATAAGGAAAGGAGAAGAAAAATGAACATACAGGAAGGAGTTTAACCATTATTAATTGTTTTTTTATTGAAAATATGTATTCGCTGAATATCTAGTTACGGTATATAGCAACAAAACGGCTTATGATAAAAATTTTTTTCCGAATTTCTGCTGCACAGCAAAATTTAGAAAAAATTAAACCTTTAATATTTTTCCTTTGTTCATCACAATTTGTGCCATTTTTTATTGTTTAACAATTCTATAATTAAAATAAAAAAATATTTTTTCAGAAAATAAATGCGTAATTTTGATTGTCTTGAACGGCCACTTTCACAACTTTTCTATCGTTATGGCAGATTTATTGCTTTTAATCCATTACCTTTAATATTTTTTCCTCTTTTCATCACAATTTTTGCCATTTCTGGATTTATTTCTTTAAATTCAATTACTGACGCTATTTATCTTTTTACACCGGCAAATGCATTATCAAAAACTGAAAGACAAATTATTCATGACAAATGGCCGCTTTTTAATGGAAGTTATATTCCAGGAAGGGCAGTTACTCAATCAAGGGAAATACAGGTTTTTTTGAAAATTTTGAGAAATAAATTCTTTTAAAAAAGGTAACTGTGAGCACAAAAGAATTGGGGGGAAATATTTTGACAATGCCGTATTCTGATATGGTTGTTGCTTTGGACAAACAAATTCAACAAGATGTTAAAGTTGAACATAAGGGACGTATATTTGGATATAAGGATTTGTGTCTCTCTGGCAGAAATCACGTTTGTCCAGGAAATAAACATATAGGATTGCTTTCTGGATTTTTTCAACATGGAGTAAATATGACATACCCGATGATTAAACTTGGAGGAGTGTAAGGAATTTTTAAAAATAATTTTTTATAATTTATAAGAAAATTTTCCGATGACATTTAAAAATTAAATTTATTGAGGGTATTAAATTGCTATATGTATAATTGTGTTACCTAAGTATATTTTTCATACTTTCTTATAAGTTGTTTTTGGTTAAGTGGTATATTTCTACGATATGTTAGGGATAATTGTGTGGTTCGAGTCGTTCGCGAACGTAACGCATTCCAGCTCCATGAAATTTACTTTTATGAATTTTGTGGCGTTCTAACAATGCGGATATTAAATTAGTTGAACTCCAAAGGAGAATCTGTTTATAAAGGATTTTCTGACTAAGACGACTGAACAAATAATTAAAATTTTTATTTTTTTTTTAAATTATTTTTTAAATTAGGCATCATTATATCGGTGCAAGTCTTGGTGGTGTTACTGTTGGTTATGGACAAAATAATGAAATGATTTTGAGAGGAGCTCATTCATGGTTAATGATCTACCATTTACAATTTTTTCCACCAAATGTTTCCCACTTATCTGGTTTATGGGAAAAACAATTTCAATTGCTAATGCAAAATTATTCAAATCCGTTTATTACTGTTACTTATTTTCACTCACAGGTTTTTTTTAAAATTATATCCTTTTTAGTATTTTTTTAAAATTTAATTTTTAATTTAAGACCCTAGCTGAAGAACTTAAAAGAAATGCGGATTCCCTCAAACCTCGATTTATTCTTGCCTTTTTTATTTTGCTTTTCTTCTCTGCACTTTGCAATATGTCCACATGCAGGAAAAGTTGGTATATTGATTGGGCTGTCTCTAAACCTGTACTTGCCATTCTCGGAGTTATAAATGCAGGAATGGGGATTGTAACAGCAATTGGTTATTTAAATTTATGTTCAATGCCCTACAATGACATTGTTGGTGTAATGCCTTTTTTGGTTGTTGGTTTGTAAAATTATTACGTCAAAAAATTTTCTTGAATATTTTATCTTTAAGCTGTCGGCGTGGACAACATGTTTTTGATGATTGCTGCTATTCGTCGTACCAATCGGGCCTCTTCCGTACAACGCCGAATGGGTGAAGCTATGAGCGATGCTGCTATTTCAATGTTTATCACAGCTCTGACTGATGCTCTTTCTTTCGGTGTTGGTGCAATAACAAGTATTCCAGCTGTGCAAATATTTTGTATTTATACCGGTGTTGCCATTGCTGTGACATTTATCTATCAGGTTTTTTCTAATCTTTTAATCCTTATAATTATTTGATTTTAAAAAAGATAACCTTTTTCGCTGGACTTCTTGCCCTCTCTATTCATTGGGAATCAAATGGATTACATTGCATATTTTTGAGACCAACTGTTCCAGAGGACATGGATGCCCAATCATCTTTGATGACTCGATTGTTTTGGCTAGGCACTGCTCATGATCCAGACCCGAAGAAACTTGAGCTCAATTTGAGAGATTCTAAACCTGCTCATTTTTTTCAAAATTGGTAAGAAATTTATATTTTCATTTTAAGTTATTGAGATATATTTTTCGTATATGAAAATTTCGTAGATTATTTCTGTATTCCCAAATATTTTTTTTGTGTATTTCTCAATCATTTTTCTAGGTTTGCCCCAATCCTTATGCAGCCATTAATTCGTGGATTGGCCATTGTCTGGTTTGGTGTTTATCTTATTTTTGCCATCTATGGTTGTACCCAATTGCGTGAAGGACTTGAACCAATAAATTTGCTAGTTCGTGATTCTTATGCAATTCCTCATTACCGAGTATTGGAAAAATATTTTTGGCATTATGGCGCTATTGTCCAGGTTTTTAAAATTTATTTTTAAATCAGCAAAGGATTACCTTTTAAGGTTGTAGTTAATAATGCACCAAATCTTGGTGATCCAGAAGAGAGACAGCGAATTCGTTCAATGGTTCATGCATTTGCTATTACTCGTCACACAATTGGGGATGACTCTGTTCAATTTTGGATGGATGAAATGGAACGGTATTATAGCGATCCAAAACATGGAATTGCTGGAGAAGGGTTTGACATGTCAAATGTGACTTCAGATGAGACATTTTATGGGTTGGCTAAGGTTAATTTAAATAATAAACAACCTTGATAAATAAATTTTCAATATGAATTCTATGATGAAATTTAAAAAAATATATCCCTAGAGTACTAAAGAATTAAATAAATTTTGGTCCATTTCGGAAAATAAAATTTTTTCTTAATACCTATTTAATCTCTAATATTTTTAAACTACAAGTTTTTAATTTTTTAGCATTTCTTTTCGGCAAAACATACAGAGAATTGGCCAGAGGATATTAAATGGGGATGGCTGCCAGAGAAAGGATTTTATCGAATAAATTCATTTCGGTAATTTAGAATAATATTTACATTTTTAGTTAATTTTTTGTAGTTTCCTTGTTGGATTACGTGATATTTCGACATCAGTACAACAACAAACTGCAACACAATTGTTACGTGACGTTGCTGCTCGCTTTCCTCGTTATAATATTACAACGTTTATTTTTTAACTATACAAAATTATTTTGTTTAATTTTTTAGTTTTATGCCACTTTGGCTATTTACTGACCAATATGCTTTAGTTGTTCCTAATACTATTCAAAATATAGTTATTGCAATGGCTGTAATGGTTTTCATAGCATTGTTGTTAATTCCACAACCATCTTGTGCTTTTTGGGTTGCTTTGGCTATAGCTAGTATTGATATTGGGGTTATTGGTTTTATGACTTTATGGAGTGTAAATTTGGTAAATTTTAACTCCAAATTGTTGGGAAAATAAATTAAATAATTTTTTGAAGGATGCCATTTCAATGATTACAATAATTATGTCTATTGGATTTTCTGTTGATTATTCAGCACATATAACTTACGGTTATGTACAGGGTGCGGCAAATTAAGCGCGCGTTTATTTTTTGCCATAACTTTCTTCAATTTTAATGAAAATTGATAATTCTTTTTTTGTTTTATTCCCAACACTTTAGGAAACTTGCCGATACCAAAATTGCTTTTTAATTTTAAGTTTACTCTGAGTAAACTTCCCTCAAAGTTTGAGCAGAATTTTTTGGATAAAAATTGGCCTAGATTCAAGGCTGGGATTTTAATATTGGATTTGTTTATATCATTCGAATCAGCTCTTCATTCTGATTCGAATGACATAAAAATCATGGGGCTACGACAAAACTCGAATGAGATACGGTCCTCTGAATATAAATTAAAATAATTTTTATAAAAATAAAATTTTTGTGTAAAATTTTCAAAAATGAGATTATAAGCTATTTCGATGCTCCTGAACGAGATGAGTCGTTTAGTACCAAAATCATTGGTATTGAACGATTTTGAACGAAGTTATGATCAATTAAACTTTGGCATAAAAAATGTTTTTAAATTTTCCAGACGATCGAACTCGATTATCTTTGCCAACAGTGAACCAAATTTTTAATGTTTGGTATCAGCAAGTTTCCTAACGTGTTGGGAATAAAACAAAAAAAGAATTATCAATTTTCATTAAAATTGAAGAAAGTTATGGCAAAAAACAAACGCGCGCTTAATTTGCCGCACCCTGTATGTTCGACACGGTCTACGCCACGTGAAAAAATTCGGGAAGCGTTGGGAGCTTTGGGGTGGCCACTCACTCAAGGGGCTATTTCTACAATATTGGCAGTTGTGGTTTTGGCAGATGTTCCCGCTTATATGATTGTTACTTTCTTTAAGGTAAGGGGATTTTAAGTAAGAATTTTTTGGGGAAAATTTATATAATAAAAAGCATATATACAATATGCTTAAATTATACAGGATATGCAAACAAAAATAAACTGGGTCCGAAAATTATCAGATCTAAAAACACCAGACTAGCTTCTCTTTTCAAAACATACCCGTCCTCAACCCTTATTAATTAATCTCAAATTTAAGAAAATTCATTTTTCCTATTATTCAGTACTTTTTTAAAAATAAAAAATGTTTTTTCAGACCGTTTTTCTCGCTATAACCTTGGGACTACTTCATGGACTTGTTTTCCTTCCGGTTGCTTTGGTGCTTTTTGTACGTGGATGTTGCACCGGTAACACTCATGTTATTCAAGTAAATTGACCAAAAAATAAATAATAAAGTGACTTAATATTTAATTTATTTTTTATATCTCATTTTTTCAATATTGACCAATCTCAAAATAATTCTAATTATATACTATATTTATTATTTTACAGTCTTTCACTTAACATGAATATATCTATTTATAAAAGTGCATTTTAATAAAAATAATATTGTGATTTTTATTTATTAAAAATAAAAGATTTTAAAAATAATTTTTGTATTTTTTTATTAAAAAAGAAATTTTAATTTAATTTAAATAAATTTGAATCAAAAAATCATTTTTTACTATTAAGAAATTATTTTTTTAAACGTCAATTTTAGTTTAATTATTGTTAGAAAAGAAATAATAAAGTTTTTTAGAAAGTAAGAGAGAAAATACAAAAAATTTAAATACGCTTATTTTGGTATATTTAATAAAATAAATTAGTTTAACGGAACTTAATAATTAAATAGAATCATTGAATTGGTTGTTTTCTTTTGTTTTCATAAAAGTAATAAATATTAGTGTTTACTAGCTTTTATGTATAGCTTGAATAAATTAATAAGGTTGTGATTTTTTGAATTATTTTTTAAAGAATTTCATCCTTTCTAGGCGTGTCGGGCTAAAACGCGGAACGGACAAAACGAGGAACGACAGAACACGGAACGACAAAACGAGGAATTACCAAAACACGGAACGACCAAAATACGGACCATACCAAAACGAGGAACAGACAAAACACGGAATTACCAAAACACGGAACAGCCAAAAGGCGGAACGACCAAAACACGGTCCAGAGAAATAATAATTCTTAAAAAATAAAAATACCCTCACTAATTTTTTCGATATTAGGAGGGTGAAGGGAATAAAGAGGGATAACGATGAGTAAAGGGGAGGAGGGATTATGAGGATATAACTATTAAGGGAAATACAAGGAATTGTATCAACCTCATTTGAATCCACATGGTGAGATAGACTGATTAAAATGATTAAGAAGTATTGAAGTTTATTGTTAGCAAAGATATCAAGGGATTTTTGGGATTAACATAGGTTAGGTCTATTAATTTATCAGTGATAAAAGTGGATTTCGAAGCCTCAAGATGAATATCGGGGACCCCGGTTTATCGGTGACTCAATAAATTGACCCATCTGATTTTTATAAAATTCTGAGTTAAGAAATAGGTATTCTAATTCAAAAAAATTCTAATTTTGAGATTATTTCTGATTAAAAAAATCAGTATTTTAAATTTTTTTTTAATATTTAATACATTTAAAATATTTTAAAATCATAAAGAATTATTATTTCTCTGGACCGTGTTTTGGTCGTTCCGCCTTTTAGCCGTTCCGTGTTTTGGTAATTCCGTGTTTTGTCTGTTCCTCGTTTTGGTATGGTCCGTATTTTGGTCGCTCCGTGTTTTGGTAATTCCTCGTTTTGTCGTTCCGTGTTCTGTCTGTTCCGTGTTTTGGAATTCCTCGTTTTACCCCTCACCCCTTTCTAGGGTATTTTAATTTAATGATAAGTCCAAAAAGACCCCTCTAATTTTAAATTTCTGTACCGGAAAGCAATATATTCAGTTAATGACGAAAAGAAAATATTTAAGATAGGGCATTGTGCCTCTGGCTATTTTCCTTAATATTTGCACTCAGATATTTATAGTAATATTTTTTATTTAAATATCCGCTAATTAAAACTTTGAAAAGGATTTAATTAAAGTTTTTCGTCATCTTTTATATTTTTTTATAAAAATTAGAAATTATACTATAATAATTCATTTTATTATCAACATCCTTCCAAGATAAATTATAAATCCAAACTCCTTTTTCGATCAGAACAAAAACTAGACCCTAATACGACCACTTTACCTGGAGTAATTTCAAAGCTATTAGAAAGTATATACTTCTTAATTATGTTAACAAAATTAACTTCGAATCTAATATTCTAATATTTTGTTTAACAATAGTTCAAATAAAATATATTATTTGCCTATATTTATTCTTTATTATCAACTCCCACACGCGATGAAATATATCCACCATATCTTGCCTTTCATTAAACCCTCAGGCTGTTTTCAGTCCTCCTACTTTTATTTATTTTGGTATTTAATTCATTGTCTTAATTTAAATTGTTCACATTAAACTAAAATATAAATATATTGTCTCAGAAAAAGATATAACGTATTCAATTTCTTATAATATCTCGTGGTATGATTGAGATTTTTTTAGATCAAGATTTCAAAAATTCTCGATGTTGATAACTGAAATTTTTGATTGAGATCTCTTCTCGATCCGGTCTCTAATTTAAAACATAAAAATTAAAATTAAAATATTTAAATTTTATATAAATTTTAAAGAAATAATTAATAATAACAAACTTCTCAATTAATTAAAATTTAATAAAATGTTCAATTTATTAATTCTTTCAATTTTTCTAATTATTCCATTCAATCAGTCAATTCTCAATAATTTCCCTTCAGAAAATACAATTAATGAAGATGAAAAAGAAGTTGGCTCCTTTCCTACACTTTTACAATTAGCCGACAGAGAAGCATTTAAATCACCTTTTGAGAGGCATCTTAATTATTTACCCGGGTAATTAATTTTATTTATAATTGAAAATTGAAAAAACATTTTGTCAAAATAATATAAGGATATTGGCAATTAAATAATAAACTTTTTTTAATTGCATCGAAGTTATTAACTATATTCAATTTTATTCTGTTTAGTTTCCCTTTTCTCTCTCTTTCTCTTCTAAGGTTGTCGGATAGTTGGAAATCTTCGGATATCCGGATCCGATACCCTAACTGAAAATTGCCGGATATCTGGACTTTTTTCTGATTCGAATATCCGAATCCGACTTTACTCAAGATTTAATTTACTTTTTTTGAATTTATTTAATTCATTTTCACATTTAAAGTTCCTCCTCCACAGCCCAAAAACGTACAATGCGAAATGCATTAATCCGATTCGGACGTTCTCCACGTTCTGCAACATTGAGAAGTGCAATGGTCCGTTTTGGTAAACGTTCAGAGAATTCTTCGAATAATGAATTATTGGAAAGTAAAAGGAATAGTGCCCCACAACCTTTTGGTTATTTTGATTAATTAAAAAATTATTTTTTTTTCTAAAGTTCGTTTTGGACGTTCATTCTCTTCAATACCTTTTAATGAACAATTTAATTCTCCATGGTGGATTGAAAGATTTGCTTTTCTTTGAAAATAAAATTTTTTTAACAAAGTTAATGACTGATTTTTTCTAAAATTTACAAACAAAATTAATTTTAATAAATTTTTAAGACTGTTTTTTTTGTGAGAAAGAATTAATAAATATTTTAATAAATTTTGTGTTAAAATCAAAAATTGAAGTTATATTTTTAAAAATATCATATCAATATAAAATATTTAACGTGTTTTTGTATTTTTTGAAGCTTCTTGTATGATACATAGTAGTAAATAAATAAATAAACGTTAAATTAACAATAAAAGGCGAAATAATATTTAAAGTAGGGTTGTTGTCGACCGGTTATTAACCGGTACCCTCGGTTTTCGGTTATCGCCGGTTTTCGACCCCCGGTTTTCGGTTCCGGTTTTTGATTTACCCCCGGTTTTTGGTTAACCGGGACCGGTTTTTGGACAAATTTTCATCCAGAATATCCCATTAAGATTTTGTCACATTCTAAAGCTTTTAAATAAATATTCTATACACTTCATCGGGGATTAGGGAAACGAGAAGTTATCAAGGAGTTTGGATGAATGAGTATTAAGAGCTGTTGTCTAGGGATTTATAGGTCCGATATTCATTCGATGACTTTAAATCTCCTTATATCCTCGATATGCAATATCTCAATATATTTTCCAAAAACTTAAATTTCGATTTTCAGCGCCGCAGGCGCTGAAAATTTAGGAAAGCCAAGAAGCCTGATTTCTTTCATTTCGATCGCCGCATGAAAAATTTTTTGTTAATTTGAAGGCCAATAGTCAGATTTCTTATTTTTTTACGGCCGGAGGTGAAATTTTTGAGAATTTTGCATGGCCAAGTCACCAGATTTCTTTCTTTTTAAGCGCCGCAGGCGAAAATTTTGGAGAATTATGTAAGGCCACGAAGCCAGGTTTCTTCCTCTTTCAGCGTCGCAGGCGAAAATTTTGAGAATTTCGGAAAACAATAGGTAAAAATTCGCTGTTTTCATTATCTTTTTCCTCATCCATGTAAAAAATTTCCTACAACTTCTTACACTTTTGATAATGCATAAAAATAAATTTGCATATTTAGGATCAAAATTAAAAGCTTAAACTTCATTTTTGGAAAAAAATACTGAAATAAACTTCACATACAAAGCAAGATTGAACCCAATCTTATGAACATTGTCGCCCGCCAGCTAACCCACTAAACTACGGATCTCCTCAAAGAAACAAAAAAATTATTATATATATTTTGAAAAAATATTTTGCCAAAATGTATTTTAGTCATTCGAATTCCCAAAAAATTCTCAAAAATTTCCATCGTTAGGGGTGTATTTTTAAAACCGAAACCGGGCGGTTTTGGTCACCGGTTTTCGGTTATCGCCGGTTTTCGACCCCCGGTTTTCGGTTCCGGTTAATTCGCCAAAAACACCGGTTAACGGTTCCGGTTCCGGTTCGGTTAACCGTCCGCCAACAACCCTAATTTAAAGGTAAAAAAGAGGGGAGAGAGAGGAAAGGTTTATATTTTATTAAGAGATTTTTTTGGAGGGTTTTCTATTGCGGGAATATATTTTTAAAATAAATGTTTTAACCAATAAATAAATAAAAAAAAAGATTAAAAAAGAAGGAACCGCCTATAAAAATAAATTTATATTTATTTATTTAACCTTCAATTTATTGCTGAGAAAATTTTATTTTTTAAAGAAAATATTTTTCAATTAATATTTTTTTAATTTTAAATAAATACTTAATTATTTTTTAATTTTTTAAAATTAAAATTGGCCTTTAATAATCACAAAATTTGTTTTTTTATTTATTTCCCAAATCATTTTATATTTTTTAATAATAAAAATATTAAAAAAAATTTTTTCACAAAAAACTTTCCAATATTTAACTTTTTCTTTTAAAAAATAATCTAAAAAATAAATAAACTTTAAAGTTTAGACTATTTTTTTGATTAATTTTCTAGAGTTTATCATCCATCTATAAAGGAAGAAAGCCTTCTCTGTCTGTTGAACATTTAAACGAAATGAAAATTTTTTATTATTTTTAAAAAATTTAAAAAATATAATAAATCCTTACATATTTATTTAAATTTAAAAATCTGTTTACAAGTCAAAACCAATATTTTAATGAATATATTTCAAAAAAATTTTTTTTAATTTTCTAATTAAGTAAATTGAAAAGGGATTTACAGTAAGAGTATTTAAAAAGTATTTACCATTTATTTGCTTACGTCCAAAAATATTTAAAATTATTAAAAAATATAATTATTTTAATATTTTTTGAGAAATTTTTTTAAATAATAAAAGTGTTTATCCAATCCTTTTTAGTGTTTATGTATCTTATTTTTATTTAAAATATATTATTAAATTTTCAATTGAAATTTTTGAGGAAATTTTGACAAACAATATTTTAATTTTTTTTTCAAATACATTAATTATAGCTTTTTGAAAATTCTATCCATAATTGAAAATAAAATCAAAAACTAAATTAAGATAGAATAAAAAATATTTTTTGTTTAGTAATAAAAATAATAATTTAAATATTTTAATTTATTCATTAACCTTAAACTTTAAATCAAATAAAATAACAGTTTAGATCACTTGCTAGAGATAAAATTAAAAAAAATTCTATTTTATATTGGTAGCCCCCCTCCCCTCTGTCCCTTCCCTCCCTCAAGAGTGGTCACTCCCTCACGCCTAAATATAAAGGTATTTCCCTCAAACTCCTTCCAGTCGATCAACGTCCAACCCTCAAAGACGCACTTAAATCAATACAACCGCGCTTTTATTCTGACTTTTTTCTTCAAATAGTAAATATTTCTTTATTCATTTTTCACTTCCGATTTATTTTCTTTATGAGGCCAAAACAAAAATTATTTATTTACAAAAAAATATACTTTTGTAATTGTTTTTCTCTTAGATTTTTATTTGTAGGAATTAATTAAAATATTTTTAAAAATATTGTAAAATAATCTTATTTTTAAATTAAAAAGGTACATTCCCAAAAAGCTTTTTTAAATCCTTTAAAAAATATCTAAAACTTAAACTAAAACTCTGTAACAATCAAAAACTAATAAAATTATTCCCTCAATTTACTGTTTACTGTATTTATTTTAATTGTTTTTGGTGGTTAAACAATTTGATCTACCATCTTTCTCGATTTTAATGAGAAAATATTAAAAGTAAAAACAAAATTAGGAGAAAGTAAAGGGAAAAGAATTTAAAAAATTAAAAAGAAAAAGATGAAGGTAAATGATTAAAAACAAAAAAGAAATCAGGTATTATTACAAAAGCTTGTATTATACAAAAGCAACACAATTGCCGATTTACAGCGCGGCGCAATTATCCAGATGATCGCGCAAAGAAATTAGAATTATTTTTACCTTTTTAATTTTCTTTTAAATCAATTTTTGAATATATGTATTTATTTTTAAAAGTTTTTTTAATATTAAAAATTAATTCTGGAATACTTAAATTATTATAGTTAAATTGATATAAATAGGATATGTATTATCGTTTTCTCGGGACCAAAAATTTTCAAAAAACAAAAGTAAATATTAAAATTCTCTCGACCTTTAAGGTATCGAAAATTAAAAAAAATTGTCCTAATTTCCGTTGATTGGGTTCTCGATGATGTGATTTAAATATAGAACCTAGTTTCTTTTGAATTTTAAATTGATATAAATAGATTTACTTACGGTTGTCGGTTCTGGACCGTATCGAACCGATAAACCGATCCAAAGATTTTCCAAGAACCGACGACCCTAGATATGCCTATTGGAATTTTTCTGGATTTTTCAATCGTAATTCTAAAAGGGTTTACGTATTTAATTTCCTAATAATCATCAAAATTGCCCCAAAGTGCATCGTCTTTATTTTTGTCATTAATTTTATTTATTTAAATTAAATTTTAATTTAATTTAATCATCATTTAATCATTAAAAACAATTTTTATTTATTTTCTCGTCTTTAACATAATTAATTGCTAAACAAATTGTTATTTTTGATCACTATTATTCCCATTAAAAATAAATTGTGAAAGAAAGGAAAAAACAAAAAAACATTTATTTTTGTTTATTTGTTAATTTAAGGAAACACTTTTGTTGCATTTTTTAAAATAATATGTAGTTATTATTACTAATTTATATTTTTTTAATTTTTTTGTTTGTGGAATAAGTTTAGAATTAAAGGGATATTGTTAAGTTTCTTAGATGTTCCTTAAATATTCTTTTGTTCCTTTACGAATTAAAAAAATAAAAATAAATTCTTTAAATGCCTAAAAATATTTATTTGGGGATTTAAATTAAATTTTTAGTTTTTAAAAAATAAATATAAAAATAATGTACAAAAATGCAGAGGATTTAATACAAAATAAAACAATATCCAATGGAAAAGTTTCTGAAGGAAAATACAAAAAAGATGGTAAAAGTTTATAATTTTAAAGAATTATTTTTTGATAATTTTAGAATTAATTGATGCAGTATTTCAACAAGTAAATCTTCCAGAAGTTCATTTTATCCAATCTTCCCCACCCGTTTCCTCTCCAAAAATAACTTGTGTACCTCCAAACAGTGTTCGTTCAGAAATTGGAGAAATAAATATTTTTGAAGAAAATGCTGATTTAATTACACCTAGAAAATCGCCTAACACACCAGAAAGGCAATCAGCCCTTTCACAATGTGAGGAGGATTATAACGATGAGGATGAATATATTGATAAAGATGAGGGTGATGAAAATGAGAATAAACATCAAAAAGTAAAATTTAAAAAATTGTTTAGAAAAAAACAAGGGGGAAAAGTTAGAAAGACATACCGTAAAACTTTGAATAATTACCCGGGGTAATTATTGTTTCGACCTTCTGTTGGAGGGAGTAATTAATTGAAGGAGGGTAATTATATGAGGTTTGAAATTTGAACGTGTTTTAGCGTATTTGTTGGGGGGTAATTATTATTTCAATATATCGCTGAAGGGGGTAATTAATAGAAGAGGGTAATTATTTGAGGGAGGGAAATTAATAAAGGTTTTACGGAAAATTATTTATGTAAAATTTTTAGAAAAATTAAATGTATAAATTTTAAGTTAAATGAAAAAATTAAAATTGATTCAACAAAAACAATGTTGGCAACTGGAGAAAAAATTAAAAATGACGAAATAGAAATTCAACAAGTTGAAATAACATTAACAGAATCTTCTAGTCCAGAAATTGTTAAAAAAGAAAAAGAAAAAGAAGTAAAGGAAGATGAAGAAGAAGAACCTTCAATAAATTTATTCTCACATAAAAATAGTTTAGAATATGGAAATATTAAACGTTCAACAAATATACAGGGAGGGAATGATGAGGAATGTGAAGAAATTGAACCTTTAACACCTTCGACTGGTAATTAATTAATTAAGAGAAGAAATTTAGAAAATATTTCTTTTATCAAAAAAATAGTCAAATATCCCTTAATTTTAATTAAAATAATTCTCTTTTAAATATTTTTTATTTAAAATAAAGGAGAAGGTTGTTTAGATTCAGTTCGTTCAATAATTGCAACAAATGGAGAAACTCCAACAAAAATAATTGAAAATAGTGAAGATGATTGGAGTGAACAAAATAATAATTTAATTGACGATAATGAATGTAGAAGAGTAAGTAGTACAATTTCGAGGGAATTAGTTAATTCTGTTATTGAATTGGCTATTCAGGTATTTTTAAGAGAAAATAATTTAATAAAAATTGTTATAGACAATATTTATAAATAAAAAAGTCTGTCCCTCTCGAATGTTTCCAAACAAAATAAAAAGTTTTTCGGTACCGACCGAGCACCGAAAATTACAAAATCTTACCAGTACGGTTCCATTATCGGTAGTACCGAACAATACTGGTCCGGTACTACCGTCAGTACCGCGGTACTACCGAACCATGCCGAAAACTACATTAATTTTAATTTAAGAAAATAATTTGTGATTTCCCAATTAAAAAATAATTTTTAAAAATAACCAGAACACAGAAGAATTTGACGATGAAGATAATAAAAGTAATAATAATGAAATAGAAAATACAAAAATTAAAGAAAAAAAGAAAGATGATTTCCAATTAGAATTAAACAAAAAAGTTCTACAAAAACAACAAAATTATGAAGAAATTGGAATTAATAATTATTTAAATAATTCCTCTAATAATAATTCAATTTCTGGGTAATTTTTATTACAAAATTTATTTAAAATTTAAAATTAAAGGCAATCATCACCAAACTCAAATTTTCGAGATATCCACGTCAGAACTTCTTTAAACGACCCTTCTTCACCATTTAAACAATTAGCCTATACAGCATTTGAACCCGAAAAACAAGAAATTATTCGAAAAGAAATTGGAAGTTTTGGGCCTGAAGGAATTAAAAAAATAATTGATAAATTCCAAAATGTCGCTAAATTAAATAAAAAGGAAGAGGAAGAAATTATTGCCGAAATTAAAAATAAAAAGATTAAAAATAAAGTTTTTGCTAGACAAAAATCAGCACATTTTTATATTGAAAAAGAACAAGTCCCAAAACAGCAAGAGGACCAAGTAAATTAAATTTGGAAATATTTAATTTTTAAATAAATATTTAAATACAGAGAAATATAGGCACACCCCAAGGTATCGCAGGCCCAAGGCTGTAGCTTCGTATAGAATTGCCGAATCTAGGACGCCCTGGTATGGTTCGATTCAGCTCGTCGATGCGCATCGAACCATACCAGGGCGTCCCGGATTCGACAATTTTGAACGGAGTTATAGCTCTCGGTATCTTTGCCTGCTCCCGAGAAATATATTTTTAAAAACTTAAATAAATCCTAAAAAAGAACAAATTTATTATTAGTTACTTGATTCCTAATTTAGTAACTTTGCAGTTAATTTTTAGACATTTTTAGCTGCTTAAAAATTTTCCACCTTAAGCAAGAATTTAATTTTTTTCTAATTATTTTCTTGTTAATTTCTCCCTCAATTAAAATTTACAAAAAAAACAAATTTTTCTAGCCAAAAAGAAAAAGCACTCCACATCCAGTTCAAAGACAAAGTTCTTTACAACAACAACAACCTGAAGACGAAAATACAAAAAATAATTTTGCTCTTTCTCGCAGCGAAATTGTTATAGAATCTCAAAGACCGGTTGCCGATATTCTTAACCAATTTCAGAGCTGTCATTACAGCCATGCTGCAAATATTAAAAAAGCTTTAAATGAAGAAAATGATGATTTTTATATTAGAAAAGTAGTTCTTAATTAAATTTTTAATATTTAAATTTTTAAATATAAAGGTTCGTCCAAAATCTTTTGGAAGCAGCGACATGCAAAGAAATTTTGGGAAAAATTCTTCTGTTTGGGCAAATAACAACAAAAATAGTAAAAGAAATTTTTAAAACAAAAACACAAGTCTTAATCCTTTCACCTATTAGGGAGGGTAATCTATATTTCATGAGGAGAATTTAGAATGATTACTCATTAGGAACGAGATACTCTTAATTAATGACTGATATTAATTTTTTAACAAAAAATTTATTATTTCCCATTAAAGATTCTCAACAAACACCCCCAATAACTTGCTTTACAAAAGAACCAACTCCAGGTTCATTAGCTGCAATTCGTTTATCATTAAGTTCATCAATCCCCTCAACTCCAAGTGTTAGCCCAATATTATTAGATAACAACAACAATTCCCCTCCAAATGAAACAGAAAAATTAATTGGTGGAAATAAACAAAAAGAAAATACTAATTTATTACATGGAAAGGATGGAATATTACCTAAAAATGTTGGACATTTTTATCGAATTTGGGGATCTGCACAGGTAAATAAATAAATATAAGTTAAAATTAATAAATATTTTGTAGGCACAAAGTGCAACAAAAACAACAGAAAAACAGTCAAAAATAAGTGTAAATTAATTTAAAATTGAAATGAGGGGGCATTTATTTAAATAAAAATAAATTTTATTTTTAGGAAAATGTTAACAATTTGGCAACGAATGAAGAATAAAAATTAATAAATTAGAAAAGATAAGAAAACAAAACTTTAATAATTTTAAATAAATTATTTAAAAACTTTTTTCCACTTCTCCCTCCTATCACAATTCACAAAAAGTAGTTTCAGATTCTAAATTTTCCAATACTTTCTTTATCTTCATAATATAATTAATTAAAAATATTAAGCAATACATATCTAATTAATTTTCGCATAATAATTTTTTTAAAAATAGCATTTTATACATACATTATTTCATTTTTATTTTAATAAAAAATTTCAGTGTTTCTAGAACTACTTATACATATATAGTACATGAGTTGAAAATTAGAGAAAATAAACGAAAATATTTTTTAAAAATTGTTTAATAAAAATATTAATTAATGATAAATGTCTAATTTTGAATTATTAATTGAATATTTTGAATTTAAAAGTAAAGAAAGATTTTTGTGAAATTATTTTGAGAGATAAAATTATTTTAGTTTATTTAAAAAATTAATTAATTAAATTAATTTATCATCAATTTATTTATTTATTTATACTCAATCCGACCCAAAAATATATTGGAGACAAAGACTAAAAAATAACAAAAAAAAAGCACATTTCCACCAAATTCTCATTTTGTGTTTATTTTGTTTAGCCCTAAAAGTTAGCTTGAAGGTCAGTCACTTTGCTGTGTAAAAATCAATCAACCCTTTGAGTACATTCTTTACTTTTTAAATAAAAATATATTTTTTTATTAATATATACTAGCTTAAGTGTCCGTTCTTAAAATAAATATCCATAGAATTTTCTAGAAAATATTTTTTCTAAAAGTTATTTTATATGTATAATGGACAATGATTCTTTAATTGCTATAAATAAATAAATATATTATTATACTTAACAATATACTTCAACTTTAATAAGTTGAAGTATAGTGATTTTAAAAAAAGTGATTTACACTTTTTTTACAATGCGACGCATACTTCCACCCCCTTTTTCGAAAATTTTTTCATTTGTAGTCATCCAAATTTTCTGAAAATTTAAAATTACACCTTTTAGTGAACAAAAAGTTCTTAATTACAAAAACTATCTCATCTCCTTTTTAAATAAAAAAATAATGATTTTTGGCTGATCACTTTTTTTAATTAAAAATTATTTAATAAAATAAACACTATATTTTCATTAAAAAATTAAATTTATATATTCTATAAATGTCCACAATTTTATTTAACTTCTTAGTCCTTTATTGTCCATTTAATTACCAACTAGTTGAGTTCAATTATTGACTATAAATAAATATATTTAATTTACTTAATACCTGATTTTTTATTTGTTCGATTCAAAAAATTTTTCGGTTAAAAACAAACAAGTAAATATTCATTTAAAAAATAAAATTTAAAATTATATCATTTTCTTTTTTAAATAAAAAAATAATGTTAACAATGTAAGTTAAATAAATTGCTTAAAATAATAATTTTTAATTTTAAATTGTTAATTTAATTGTGAATATATTTCTTTTTATTAATAATCTATTAAAAAATATTTTACTAAATTAATTTTTTTGTTTAAAAAATTAGGAAAATGTTTTGGCGGTTAAATTATTGTACAGCTGTTCTACTTGCTTTAATCTATACTTGTAATACATTTTGGATAGGTTCTGCAGCTATACATGAACCTGAATTACAAAAACCACATCATGGAGATCATAAATTGAGTGACCAAGAACATTATAAAGTAAACATTTAAATTATTCAAAAGTATTATGATTTAAATTTAAAAATTGTTGGGGGGGGGGGGGAGGGAGGGTGGCATAACGGAAAAGTACCAAATTACTTTTGTTTATCATTTTATTTTTGTAGTTATTTGAATAAGGAA